GTTGCGCCGATCGACCCTCTGCTCTGCTCTGCAAGGAAGAAATTAAGGGCCACACACACATGCAGAAATGAATACTCCTAGACGGGGTAATGAGGGTCCATGCACGCCCATCACCTACCTTACCTATAGCCAGCTCCATGCATTGCATGCATTGGCCCAGGCTAGCACAGCACACTGAGCTATGCCGGTGCAAACCAATGCCAAGCAGTACAAACGCCACCCACACAGTATGTATCTACTCATTATATTTGTATCCTCTTGATCTTTCATTTAAGTTAATAAAATTCACCCTCTGTTGAAAAATGTGCCCCGAACCCAGCGATCCATCCATCCATCTCCTGCTTGCCGCCTTCATTGCCCCCAACCCCTCCACCTCCGTACCACTACTACGCCCTGTGCCCACACGCGCACGCGCGGGCGCGGTCAGCAGTTAGAGCAGCAACTGCACCTACGCTACGGCTGTGTTTTATTGCATTCTCATCTCAGTCCCTCTTTATGCATGCATCTATACGAACTCAAGGACCCTTCATACACTCTACTAAACCTTAAAAAATGAGTCGAGAAAAAACTTTTAGACTCATGCAGACATGCACCTTCATACACCATACCAGACATGTAGTGATTTCACATTGTCTTGTAGTTCACTGTAACTTTTCGATGCTCTTCGGCTTCATGTACGTACGGGTCGATCGCCCTCTCCGCCACCATGACGATGACGTAGTACGAGCGACATCAATTGTGTGTCCGTGTGTCGCCATCATATCCGCCGGCCCGGTCCGGTCCCTCCGATCACTGCGGGTCTAACAGGCACAACAACACATATATAGATATATCTGAGAGCAACTCCAACGAGGCGACCTATTTCGCCACGGACAAAAGTACCAGCCCAACGCACCGACCAAACCAAAAATGTATCCGCGACGACGCAGTTCAGACCCAAATTTGCGCCTGGTTTGCTTCCACGTGGACACGAAATAGACGCGCTGTACGGCCCCGCGATGACCGCTGCGGCCCCACATGTCGGCTGCTCAACAACCACCCGCGGTCGTATTAAACGCCAGCACCCACCTCCGGCATGCTTGGCAGTGTGTGGTGGGGCCGGCCTCATCCACTTCCATCTCCCCGTCCACATCTGGCCACACTTGCTCCCTCACCGGAGACCAGAAAACCCTAGCCAGCTAGCCACCAGCTAGGTCCCCGTGTTGGAGTTGCTCTACTGGGATGCATGCACTGAACAATGACCTCCTGCCTGCCTTCCAAGGCTCCAACACTGTGCTTCGTACCGTACGCACGTTACATGCAACACACCAAATGAGATGAATATTTTGATGAGGTTCACACAAGTTTAAAGCGCGCAAGGCGGCACGCGCCGATCTATCTATTTACTCAAATCTCTCGCGAAAACAGTGGTTTCGATCCTACAACTAATCCGGCCATGGACTGGATATCTCGCCAACCTGTATGACCCACCGGGCCAACAGGGATTCATCAATCATACTTACGTACCAGCTTTTCAAGTCGCCTCACGCCTCACGGTAGGGTCAAGTCGACATGAATTGGCTCATTATTTGCGCTGAAAATGACCTGGTGCTAGCAGTAGGAGTATCATGACCGCAAAAAGGTTTAGAGGGTGAGGGGCAGGGGAAAACGGAGAGGACACAGTACTTGTACCGGAAACAGATCCAAGGCTCTGCAGCAGTTGACCATCACATCATGATTTACTAGCCGTAACTTTGTGAGTGAGAGTCAGAGGACAGATGTAGCCACTGAAACCAGCCCCGCGTGCGGTAGGGCCCGACGTGTTTTTTTTTTTGACAGAGAGAGCCCGAGGTGGTTTATTGACGTGCTGTGCTGCTGCGCACACGGCCACACCCACATGCACCCAGCAGCAATGGGGTACTCACTCTTGCCCCTTGGCCAGCAGTTCCATCCATCTTCCATCATCCACTCCAATAATCCACCCATCATGTTGAGTATCATACGTACTTATCTGTTCCACCAGCCCTCTCTATTTCTCTCGTACATCAAAAGGATCTTGGTTTAAACCAGACCAATGTCATGACATTTTTCATATAATCATTAAACATAAGGAGACATTATATTTCTTTTAACCTGCTCCAAATTTTCACCTGCTGTGGAGCGTCCGTGTATCACGTCCCGTGTGGCGAGCTCAACGGCCGTGAGCTCCGGGAAGTGAAGCTTCGAGTCGCCGGCCCACATGGGACACAAAACGTGCCCACTTCCGTGTCACCTGTCGTACTCTTCCTCGCAAGACGAATTTTGAGTGACACCACTTATCTGATGCGTGTGTGGCGGAGGTACGAACTCTCGCAAGGCCCTCCGGATTGCATCTGATTTGGTTTGCGGGAAAACGAACGCGGTGAAGGCTCCCGTCCCCTCGCGTCGCTCCCGCGAGCGACCGAGGGGATAACCCTAGCCGCCGGCGCGTGTCCCCCCTCCCCCTCCCTCCCCTCGCCGCCGCCTGTCCGCGCTGCCGGGCAAAGCCCGGGGGGTGCTGGCGGCGGCGGGGCCCCTTCTCTCCCCGCTCGTGGAGGCTGGCATGGGCGGGCTCTCCCCGGGCGGCGCCGCGGGGCTGCGCTCGGTGGCGGTGGCCGGAGCGGCAGGCCTGGCGCGGAGGGCTGGACGCGGGCGGGTGGCGCGATTGTGCCCGTGGAAGCGGTGTTTCCTGCGCAGCCGGATCTGGCTCAAGACGGCGCGGGCTGCGGGCGGCGCGGGTTGCTGATGGCCACCTCTGTCGTGGTCGCGACATGTGGTGGTGGCTTCGTGGCAGTTGGTGGTGGTGGTGCGGGCCGGAGGTTCGAGACGACGGCCGCGTCGGCTCGTTCGGCTCTGACCTCGCGGTGGCGCGGGCCGCAAAGGCTGGGGTTGCGGGCGGCGGCCCTGACCGTGGCCCCCTCGGCTGGTCGGGGTGGCGGCGCAGTGGCCGTGGCTGCGGGGGTGCGTGCCCGGCGGCTACTGTGATGGTGGCAGGTTGGTTGCAGCGGCGACCAGTTTGTCCTGGCGTCGACCCGTCTGTAGGCTGCCTGTATCGGCCCTCGACCCCTCTCCTCGGTGTCCGTTCTCGTCTCTCGCCGGAGGGCTATCCTTCTCCCGGCTGCGGTCCATCATACGTCTCGCACCCGGTGCCGTAGGACCGAGCTAGTCTCGCGCCTGGCAGCAGGACCGGCCCGTCTCGCGCCCGGCAGCAGGACTGCGCTTGTCTCGCGCCCGGCAACAGGACCGGCCCGTCTCGCGCCCGGCGGCTGGACTGCGCTCGTCTCGCGCCCGGTGTGGCAGGATGGCTCGATGGAGGCTTGTTGTGGCCAGCCTATTGGGTCTCGGCGTTGGGACCGGCCAGGGGTGTGAAAGGCGGATCCTTTCCGCCCGTCTCTGCGGTGGGGGTAGTGGTGGGGCTCGGGAGACTTGGTGTCAGGGTCTTGGATTTCGGGGCGGCGGCCCGGGTGGTGGTGGCGCGGTGCTCATGGGCAGAGCTCGTGCCTTGGTGCTGCCCGGCTGCCACGGCCGTGTGGGCGGCATGGTAGCCGGGGTGTGGCGATCGGTGGCGGTGAATGTTGGCCGGGGTGAAAACCTACTCTATCTTCGGACGGACTGGCGACGGCGAAGATCGCTCCCTTCTTGAAGGCGTCGCCGCGGCTATCATTGCCCGTCATGGTGCTCCAGGGGAAACTCTGATCCTCGGATCGGGCGGTGACGACGCTCCGGTGCCGTATCCTTTCTGAAGGCACCGCCTTGAAGCCCACGGGCCGTTTTTTACAGCAAGGGATGGATAATTAGGCGGAATCTCCTCCCCCTTTCATCTTTGCCTCCCCTCCCTATATAAAAGGGCGTCCTCTCTCTCTCTCTCTGCCTACCATAATACCAAGCAAGAGCAATACTTGTTGCCAACAAAGACACCGCTCTGCAGTCCTCTAGAACCAAAACAGAGCATCCAAGAAACCAGAGGAGGCAGAGGCAGAGGCAGAGGTAGAGAAGAAGATGGCGCTCCTCTTCCTGGTGCTGGTCGGTGTTTTCGTCGGCGTGGTGCTGGCGAGCAGCCTCCTGCTGCGGTGGAACGAGGTCAGGTACGGCAACGGACCGAGGAAGGAGGGCGGGTGCTTGCCCCCGGGGAGAATGGGGTGGCCGCTCTTGGGCGAGACCACCGACTTCCTCAAGCAGGGGCCCAGCTTCATGAAGCAGAGAAGGCTCAGGTACATCCGTCCGGAACTCCCCATGGTCGATGATATGTCATATGATCATGCATTCTTGCATCTTCTTCCTTGGATTGAAGCTAGTGTCTTCTGGACAAGTCGCTTCTGGTAGGTAGCTAGCTAGTGTCTTCTGGACATGTCGCCTCGCCGGGATTTGAGGGATTTTGTTGGTTGTGGAGAACTCAACCGGAGATGGATGCCGGTCGCTGTTGCTGGGTCGAGATGGATGTTGCCGCCGGCGACGGCGTGGCCAGCTTTTGGTCCAAAAATTGAGAACCCCTATATTTTCACAAGATTTTTTACTACTACTAGTAGTACATCTGTCTTCACTGGAATAACAAGTTTAACGAATCTATCAACGACGGAAATGTGCCGGTTTGGCAGCAACTTTCCGGCTGTGTAAAGGAGGAGGAGGAGGAGCATCATTCTAGCTGCTTTGTCCCCCAAAACCTCACATAACAACACGCCTCATCACTGCCCCAGCTCCCAAAGTATACACCATTTGTAAATTCACACACATAAAAAAGAGGATCACCAGCCGATACTTCATGTTCCATCCATCATCCCCATCATAGTGTTTGCTTGCTTACTTGCTTGCCACTAAGAAAAACATGGGATATATAATCTTATTCTGAACGAGGAATATTAATCTATGCGCTGTTGCAGGTAGGGGAGGCTGTTCCGGACGCACATCTTGGGCTGCCCGACGGTGGTGTCCATGGACCCCGAGCTCAACCGCCGCATGCTGCTGAGGGCGAGGCCGGCGGCCTGGTCCCGGGCTACCCGCAGTCCATGCTCGACATCCTCGGCCGCAACAACATCGCCGCCGTGCACGGCCCGCTGCACCGCCACATGCGCGGCGCAATGCTCGGCCTCGTCGGCCCCGTCGCGCGCCGGCAAAGCCTCCTCCCCAAGATCGACGCCTTCATGCGCTCACATACCTCCGGCTGGGCAGGCAGCGTCGTCGACGTCCAGGCCAAGACCAAGGAGGTATACCACACAGGCCACCTGTACATCTAGAGACAGTTTTTTCGCAAAATAAAAGAAGTTGACACAGTTGGGTGGAATATCGGAGTACGTTAATGCCTCCCCCACAGATTAGTTCACTCACTACTCTGCTCTGAAAATATTTTGCATCCGTTCATGCTACTGAGAAATTTTTGTTCAAATATGTTTCGCTTGGTTGACGCCAGATGTATCAGTGATAAAAATAGCCTTGTTTTAGTGACAGCTTCACTCCACACTTTCCAAAGTGGTTGTTGCAGAGTTTCATAGTAGACTAGTATCTACTTGTGCCCCAGAACAGAGTATCAGATTTCAGGGCATCATCATTACCCGGTTGCCGCTTTTGTGGTGGTTGCAGAGTTTCTTAGAAGCATCTCTTCTCCTTGCAGCAGCAGATCACAGAATCTTAAGTCCTCGTATCATATCTAACTGACTTTCCCTTTCCCTTTTAGATGGCCTTGCTATCTACACTCAGGCAGATCGCCGGCATCACGGCCGGCCCACTCTCCGACGCCCTCAAGGCAGAGCTGTATACCCTTGTGCTCGGCACCATCTCCTTGCCCATCAACCTCCCAGGGACCAGCTACTACCAAGGCTTTCAGGCAAGGAAGAAGCTCGTGTCCATTCTAGAGCAGATGATCACGGAACGGCGATCCTCTGGTGATGCTCATGATGACATGTTGGATGTTCTCTTGAGAAGCGGCGATGACGGGACCAGGGATAAGATTAGCGACGAGCAGATCATTGACTTGCTCATCGCCCTCATCTACTCCGGATACGAAACCATGTCGACCACTTCGATGATGGCCGTCAAGTACCTATCGGAACATCCGCTGGCCCTCGAAGAACTTAGGGTATGTACACATACTTTGCAAATCAATTTTGGTTCCATGGCATATATCACGTGCTTCTAGAGTTTATTGATGGTCTTGTCACTTCTGAATGCAGAGAGAGCATCTTGATATCAGGAAGGGAAAATCGCCGGATGAAGCCATCAACTACGATGATTTCAAGTCCATGGCCTTCACTCCAGCTGTAAGTAGGAGAAAAGACACAAAAGATGGAGTAAGAGCAGTAGTATAACATGAGTATGATCATGATGTACTCATGGACACCTCTATGCAGGTCATTTTTGAGACGCTAAGATTAGCCACTGTTGTTAATGGACTGCTGAGGAAAACTACAAAGGATGTAGAAATGAATGGTGAGTTATGGTTGGAAATTACTCTGCCACTAAAGCATTTTCTAGGAAAAAGAATAATTCAGTTCTAATGTGGTGTACTATCGATTTTTTCCGGGGCATGTCATTCCAAAAGGCTGGAGAATCTATGTTTACACAAGGGAGATAAACTATGATCCGTTCATGTATCCTGACCTGATGACCTTCAATCCGTGGAGATGGCTGGTAAGTAGAAGAGCGGAAAATATTAATTACCATCAAAACACCAGTACAACAACATATCACCACACCAGAGGAAGTTCTAACCTTTTCTTTGCCTACTAAAAATGTTCAGGAGAAGAACATGGAATTGCACCCGCACTTCATGTTGTTCGGAGGGGGCGGCCGGATGTGCCCCGGGAAGGAGGTGGGAACTGTGGAGATCACGACTTTCCTCCACTATTTCGTGACCCGATATAGGTATGTTCAACCTCTCATTAATCCACGTCGATCCGATTGCTAAGGGCAGCTCCAGCGTTATTTTTTTACTAACAACAGATGCTTGCATTCTGTTTGATGTTGCAGATGGGAGGAAGAAGGCAAGAACACAATCTTGAAATTTCCCCGGGTGGAAGCTCCCAACGGCTGCATATCCGAGTTCAAGATTACTGAACTCTTGCAACAAACATTTTGCAGAGTTTAGATAGATATGCCAAAGACAAAGACGATGAGGGCGCGATTCTGCGCTGATGAATAGATTAGATTAGAAATTTGATGCCTGTAAAAATATAGGAACATAGGGATAGTATAGATGTTATAGGTTCACTAGGTAGCTGAGGTAGAAGGCAACAAGATGCTCCTGTGTTCTTTTGTTCTACCAATTCTGAAATCGACAAAGGCGTATGATGTGAATAGCTTCAACTCTCTGTTTCTTTTTGAACCATGCAGAAGAGCTGCATGTCAAATGATAGATAGAGAAAAATATAATTGTCTGAAGAATAGGAGTGTAAACAAGAAATATGCACTAAAATGAAGGAAGTAGAGTCTCAGATACAGTTTTTGAATGAGTTTGGTGCTGGAGAGTGCCGGGCTGCATTACGGCCATCAGGGAGGTGTTGTCGTTGTGTGGAGGGAGTTGTTGCTCTGCTCTGTTGGCGTAGTCATGGTGACTAACAGAGAGCATGCTTTCTTTTACCATACAATCACTACAACGGAGGACCGTGCGTAGGCGAACATATTACATAATAAAATTGTATGGTACATGATTACACCCAGGAACATTATGAAGGTGCCGGTAAGATCAATCTCATCGACGAGTAAGGTAGCGGAAGTAGTTTATTCTGTCGGTGAAGCGCGACAATTCCCATGGGTAGGTTTATACCCCCTAGCCACGAGAATTTCTTCGAGACGATCCGCCGGTCAAGAGTTGAAGTAAACGACCCCTTCGAAACATTCACGCGTTCCGAAGTAATAACCCGACAACGCTTCCACATCCAGGAACAAGAGTTCAGAGAAAACTATAGAGAGAATCCTAGCAGCATTCCCATCTAATTAGGAGTCCCAACTATTAGACCAATTAGTCTGGGACTAGAACGTAGGT